CCTGCTTCGAATTCAGGAGGACCCGTGTTCAAATTTCTGCCCAGAGACTTGAAATCCTCACTGAGGTCTTCTGTGGCTTTCCTCAGTCGTTCATGCAAATGCTAAGACAGTGCTTTAAATTAGGTCACAACCGCTTTGTTACTTATCAATTCCAATTCAAAGGTACTAATTAATCGCCCCGTCATTAAATAATATATAGTTTGAACTACTGACAGCATCGCTAAATAAACCACACACCCAGTCAGATATAAATGTAATGTAGCGTTAATAAATCTATTAATTTTTAAATTATATTTCTCAACTCTAAACTGCACTTATTTTTCTGTCGCCTCGAACCAGGAATATTTAAGAACATGCCTAATTATAATTCCAACTTCTCTTCCACGACTCTTTTATAAGGCGGTCATGCCTATACAGTTGAATGACTATCTCATTTGTCTGCTATGTTATTAGTTAACATATAGTGTAATTGGTGTAAAAATCATACCGATCCTGATGAAAGTAATAGTAGTTGTAAAGCATAATTATGGGAGCAGAAACTCGCCTTCAAAGTACCAGAAGAGATTAAGTGACTTTATCCATTTGCGGCCGCTGGCCTCTTATCTGGAGACAAATAATCTTAGAGAAACACAGATACGAAACGCATACCAAACAGTTTATTGTTTCATAATCTGACGGCACACAAAACTTTCTTACTGGATGGCAATGTTTTGGGCGGAATTGCCACGGACAAGAAACGTTACGACAAACTAGGATTTTTTTAAACTTCATGTTCTGAAATGTATGGTTACTCGATTACCTTACTGAACTACATCAACTACTGGTGTTACTTAACAGCTAGTTAGGTATGATCGGCGTATTAAGAATTGAAAGAAGTGCAGGAGGAAAATTCAGTGACCGACATTCCTGTACTATTCCGACAATTACTTGAGGGAAATGAAAATACCACGGACATTGTGTGCCTGGTTTATAGGTCGAGAACTGAAGTGGAAACTTCAATAAAATGGGAGAAGAGAACCAACAAACGACTCTGGTCCTGAATTTTTATTTTAAGGAAATTATCCGTTTTAGTTAGTGGCATTGGAGGAGATAATGGCTTCTGTGTCTGGATCTTTGCCTTACTCCGAAGTTCTGGTGTTAACATTGCCCTAACTGTTGCGTCCACAAAATGGATACGTGTTCAGTATCTTGCGAGATTAGCACGTGGATTTTCAGTTATGGATTTTCTCCTGTTCTCCCATTGTCTCTTTTGTTAATGACCTAAAATTTTCTTTGTGATCTTCCTGTTACATTAGCCTTAAAGTGTATTTATTTCAGCTGCAAACCCATACTTTAAAATTAAAAATACTGCGTCCAGCCCGAAAATTTATTACTCATATTATATCAAATATTCACCACACCAAAGAAGGATTCAGGTTAAACTTCTTGACGACCTTCACGAAGTCTGTAAGTTAGTTTATGTCACGTTCCAAGTACGTTTATGTTTGCAGAATGATTTAGTTTTAAGACAATG